ACTTTTGTACGAAAACTAGGTAGATAACAATTATTAAATTCTTCATTCATATCCAGCGTACGGCTATAAAGCTCGCAAGTGACTGTCGTGTCTTTAACTTCCTTTTTGAGAAAATTTCAACGTTTGTAATCTCATTTTGGGGTGGCCAGTGGACCTTCAAACACCTTGGCTGCGAGACCCAAGGAAATACGTTTGCCGGAAATACGTCTCCGCGGAGACAAGCGACAGCCGGAAATACATCTGCGTTCGCGGGCCTACAGTTTATATAGAGGGTCAGAGAGAAGGAAATGCTCCTTAGTTATACTGTAACTCATGATTGATCATGATTATTCAGGCGTGATTGATCGATAAACTGCAATATTATTTTCTGCGCCATTGCCCGGATTCCAGAGGTTAAAATTATAATACAACAATTTTTAAGCCAATTAAATATGTGAACTGCTCTTTCCCTTCAGTGGAAACTCACTTCGTAGCAAGAACACTGCGAAAGTATTGTGCCTTGTGAAAATGTAAGCTTATCCTAAGCACAATTTGCATTAATTGGAAGGTTTAATTAAGTTTAAGTTCAGTCTATACGGACTGGTTGTGATCTGCTGAATTAACCACCTTCTTCTTGAAGTACTTGTTGTAACCGTCAATGGCGTTATTTTGTAGCTTGTGAAAAACTTTAGGAGCGTTCCTGCCGACCAACCACTCCATACGTGCATTAGGCAGCCTTCCGTTGTAATTATTATTCGTTAATCCGAATACTTGGCACTTGCTTTCTGGTTCCTTTTCGTCAGGAGATACGATGTAGAAATTTCCGCCATTCGTAGCTCTCACAAGACCATGTCCGCCGACCGGCTTGGAAGGGTGACTGGCGTTTTTCACAAACATAGCAAACGACTTCTTTCCGTACCAATCGATCTCTCTGGTTGTTGATACGAACAAAACCATTTCACGGTCGGTTAGCGGGCAAGATAATGCAATTCGTGTGGATACGATAAGAGAACCATCGGGACCAGTCTCCAAAATTTCAATGTCTTGGAAAGCATCGTCCCACTTGGTGCGTATCTCCATATTCGAGGGATGAATCATTTCAGCGAACTTCTCTGCTGGCATTGGCATATCTTGAAACAAGAAGAGCACTTTAACAGCACACTCTTCTTTTCGGAACGTTTTACTCCAAGAATCGAAACGTCCCGCAACTTTAAACCTTGGATTCCAACCGCCTTTTTCCAAGTCTTCTTTAAACCATTTCGCCCTCTGAACTTCTTTTTCAAAGTCTAACTGCGGGGAAGTTTGCTCTTTGGGCTCCATACCGATAAACCTTGCCTAGCAAATGCAAATATTACGCATGTACAGGGTACTTAAGGGATCAAGAATGCTGACAATGTCATTTATGCAAATGTCATGTGTCAACGTGCCGATATAACAATGATAATCTAAAGGTTCGATTTCCACCGCCGCTCTCTCGTGCGGCTGGTAAAATCGAGCCCATGCGCTCTCCGGCTCCGGGAGGGTGTAGCCTACAGTACTGGCGGATTAGCGGGCTGTAGCGCGATACACGAGCGCGCGCGCGCGAAGCGAGAGGATTTTTCTCGCCTCTCGCTTTGCGCGCGCTCGTGTATCGCACTAGAGGCCGCTAATCCGCCTGTTCTGTAGGCCAAAAGATGAGAGACCGAGGTTGTCTTATGTCGTACCTTAGGTTGCCTTAGGTATGTATTAGACCCTTATATATGTATCAAGCCCCGTTCACACTACGCCGTAGAAATTTGAAAACGCAGCTTTATTTCTACGGTTTTGGCCTACCGTCCACGCTAATCCGTCACGAAAACGGAGCTTTACGAAAACGCTCTTCAACCCGGAGCAATTTAAAAACGCCGGCCTTACGTCCAGCGTGTGAACGGAAAACATTTTGAAAACGGAGCTTTTCGAAAACGATGACGTCACGATAATCATGAGATTTCTCAGACCGAGTATCCCTCAAACACAAATCCAAAATGACTGGTGATTGTTTTCGGGGTGAAACCTCCGTTTGCAAATTCCTCCGGCTTAGTGAGGACAAGGCCTCGGACGTGCTCTCTAATCGGCCATAGGAAATTGGCGCGATATTGGATTCAGGCTGCTGAATGGGAGTCAACTATTTTTTTGTTTGGAGAACAAAGATACAAAGAAAATAGATGTTTAATCAATACTTAGGCTACACTGTACCTTCAAAATAGCATTGATCGCGCGTGAAACTATCTAGATTATACGTTAAAAATTTGTCTTATTTGGGCACGTGCGATATTTAGCGTGCGCTTGAATGGAAATTCTTTAATTCCTTAATTCAGTCAATCTTCAGTTCATTGCGAGATGCGCAACGCCTTCCATCTTTCTCTACTGTAAGTGAAAAGGGCAAAAATTACTTATTTATTATTTACTCAAAACTTGTAACTACCGGTAATCAAAACTTGGTTTCAACAATGATGAAAATTTTCGACAGTAATCCTCAAAAATAATGTCAGCTGAAACAAAAAGAAAAATCATCATCAATTATGCCGAATTAAACTCGTGGATAAAGAAAGTTATCTATGACAATGCGGATAAACCTTGCCTAGCAAATGCAAATGTTACGCAGGTAGAGGGCACGTAGGGATCAAGGGATCAATTAAGGGATCAAGAATGCTGACAATGTCATTTATGCAAATGTCATGTGTCAAAGTGTCGATATAACAATGACGATCTAGAGGTTGATTTCCGCTGCCGCTCTCTCGTGCGACTGGTAAAAAAAATTCTAGCGTATGTGCTCTCCGGCTCCGGGAGGGTGTAGCCTTCAGTACAGGCGGATTAGCGGGCTCTAGCGCGATACACCAACGCGCGTGCGAATCGAAGCGCGAGGCGACGCCTGTTCTGCAGGCCAGAAGATGAGATACCGAGGTTGCCGTATAATGTACCTTAGGTTGCCTTGGGTATGTATCAGACCTATAAATATGTATCAAGCTTCGTCCACACTACGCCTGAGAAATTTAAAAACGCAGCTTTATTTCTACGGTTTTGGCCTACCGTCCACGCTAATCCGTCACGAAAAC